TAAACATAAAACAAGTCCGATAAACATTCTATCAATAACTCGAGTTATTGATGGATCTGTAAATAACATATGTCGATTTCTGAATGACAGAATCAACCATCGACGCATAACATATATAAAGAAAAATATAAAAACAAATATTCAATCTTCCGAAACGTCTGGATCACGTGAACAAAAAAAAGAAAACAGTAGGCCGATGAGCGGAAATTATATTAGCCCTTTACAATTTACACAAGCAAATTCGGAAATAAACAAAAGAGAACACCAAACAAAATCTTAAGATGGTTAAATAAAAGTTTACTGATTTTATAATTTAGACACTTCTATTTTATTTTCTGATTTTGAATTTAAAAGATTTTTTAAACTCCCACTTATTTTTGAAATAAGGTAATTTTGAAACACTCTAACCATAATTTTATAAAAATGCATTTTTTATGCAGAGATTTTACTAATTACGAACCCAATTTTACTACTTTAAAAACAAAAAAAAACTTGCCTTTACAACTTAAGATACAAGAAAGGTTTACTTGGCAAAAACTTTATTATTATTAAAGGAATTAACAAAAATAATAGTAGAAATAAACCTATTTTTAGACAATTAATCTACAAGAGTAAGGGTGATTATGTAATGCTCTGTAACATTATTTCTCAAAACATCAATAATCCCAAGTACAAATCCATAATCTCTATATGGAGGATAACTGGAAGGAATTATTATATCATAAGTTCCATCTTCCACAGGAATTCCTGTATATAAATCCACTGGGACTTCCGTAATTATACCCGAGTCTCCCAAAAAGTAAAACAAATGAACAACAATCTTTCTTCCTGAATATTTATTAAAATTATCAGTCCATTTAACAGTAAACGGTTTTCCACTTTGAATAATTGAACCTTGTGAAGGAGTTAATATTGTAAGTCCGAATTTTGGTGAGCCAATTATGAAAGTTGCTGATCCGGCCGCAAAATTATCAGATTTATAGATTCCTATCGCGAATCTTGCGTCATCAGTTATATTTTTAGAAGGGTCTCTTTCAGGGAGAGTGTATTCTAAGATATTTTCTTGCCCAGGATTTACTGAAACATTGCTAGCAAAGATATGAACACGACCTAAGTTGGCAATCTGAAGGTTTACTTCGTATAATACAGAAGTTTTTTGATCGGGATATACTGTAGAATGAGCTTTATTTTGTCACCAAAATCGTAGCGTTCACCACTTCCTGGTGAAGTTACTTGGATACCATAAACATTATCTGGGAAGTTAGAAGTAGAACTATCCACTGGATTGGCAAGGAGTAAAGAAGCTAGATTAGAGAACAGTAATAAAACTGCAATAAATAATTTTTTGTGTAGTATGTTATTCATATATATAAAATTTATCATTTTAATAACTATGAAAAAACATTCCTTCATAAGACACTATCGAATTAAATCCATATTTGTACACTCACTATGATTGTATCATTATTACAAAAAAGTAAATTGTTCATTAATTTTTTTTTATACTCTTTACAATAATAGAATTACGCTCAACTTCCTTGCAAAAATATGTAATAAAGTCAGACCTCCCTAAATGCAATGCGACGGGACCATATGTAAAAGTTTAGTCAAATGTGTACTTAGAAAGGTAAAAATCTATAGATGTAATATTAGTTGGGCCCGAAAGAAGACGTGCATTTAGAGAGGTGTTTCATAGGACATACACTTAGGGGGGTAGCATTTAGGGGGTCACCAAAAGAAAGTACATCATGCATAACCTCGTATAATGGTTTTCTATTTTTGGCCAAATGAATACGTATACAGATCAAGATATAAAGCAAAATATGCAAATAAAGCGTAAGATTCAAAAGAAAAAAATAGATTTAAAATGTAAAATATTCATTTATATAACATTAAAGTTTACGAGTTTATTTAAAATGAAATACAATGTTTTATATATTTTTACGTTGAAAAAATTTGGATTAAAGTTCTTCTGGACTGTAGGCTACACAAATAAGGGGTGGTGCTCCTCGTCGTTTAACATAACATCGTACGAGTGGGGAGAGCATAAAAAATACAAATGAGTAAAATATAGTAATCTAATAACTGTAAAAAATGTAAAAAATATAAAAATAAACGGAAAGCTACTGCTATTTGATTGGTTAATATGATGTGTTTTTTATCTAAAATTTTAAAAAAATTGGTTATGTTAAACGAAGAATTAAATTGATCTGCAAGGGATAGGCGCATGCGCAGGAATTACCAGGAACGAAATGTAATGTATGGTTTAATAGAATGTAAAGTGTCCGTTGTAGAGGTAGGGACGGATTCTGGGTTAGGACTCGATCAGAAATATGTCAAACGATGGATTCGAGTCTAACAAAACACAACACCAATTCAATCTTACCCTAAGTGGAGAGCGTCGAAAGAGGGCGTGAAAGATTTGGCTCGAGTTTTTAGGGCTACACTCAGATTATTCCGGCACTTCTGGTCACGTATCCCGACCTCTAGCAGAAAGATCGTATGACTTAATAATAAAAGTTTATTATTATCAAAGAGAGTAATTATGGATTAACGAATGTGAATTGGAACTTGAGGGAGTTATTTAGTTTTAAAACTTAGAAGCGAGTTGTTAACTAGGCGACCCTAACCCTAAAGTTAATCGAAAAAATTATTAAATATGAGTTACCTCCACTTTGACGTCCCCTATATGTAATTAAACTTTTGTTGATCATTTTTATCATCATAGTAATTTACAAGAGATGTAATTTTATTACAGATTGCATTAAATTGCAGCATTGAAATTCAAGGGTTTTTGATTTCTAGTACGTAGCAATTATTTAAATATTTTAATTATCAATATTAGTTAACAACTTTTTTTAATTAATTGAGAACGTGACATGAATTGAAAGCGTTTAACCGCTTAAAAGTTATTTCATAGTTTCAGGCCAAATTATATTGGTTATGGGCCAGAACTATTTAATGCTGGCTGAATTAAACGGTTAAATGGTTAGAAAATTTTTACACCAATCCTTAATTGTGTGAATGACTTACTAAATTAATGCAATAAAATTAAGTTCGTACAAGGCATTAAGCCAAGAATCCTGAAAATTACAAAAATCCCAAGGATTCTTGTGATTCTTAACATTGACGGGATCGACATAATTTCCATAATCAGTGGTATAGAGAAAATCCACTAAATTCTTAAAATAGTAATTATTAGATTTAATACTAGGATAAGGATTTTAGTTAGAATCGTTAGTATAGATAGTATCGCATTACATATGTAAGAAAATTATATATATGAAGAGATTTTTTTTGTAATAAAAACAACTCATAAGAGTTCGAAAAAATAAAAACCTTCCGAGTCTTTAATAGTCTTGAAAGGAAGTGTTTGTTTATCTCTAAATACGTTTCCCTTTAGATTGTTGTAAATCGTTTTGTTTGAATCGTTAAATTTTTCTATCTTGTCCCCGTGATATTTTCTCTCTAAATACAGTTTCCAGTTAGAGTAAAAGTGCCCAAATTGTCATATCGCATACTTAGTGATGTGCCATTTATATGATACCCAAATTTTTTTCGCGTACAGCACGTACAGTACGTACAGTACGTATAGTGCGTATAGTTGTTTCTAGCGATCTGATTGGTTGGGAGAATTCAATCGAAGTGATCGGCAAGAATTTTCGCGTACAGTACGTACAGTACGTGCGTACAGTACGTATAGTACTGTACGCGGCAC